ATTTGCTTCACAAACAGAGTTTTTATTATTCCTAGTTTAGCTTTCTTGCCAAGGATATAAATGCAGAATGGACGTCCTGGAGACTGACAAATTCTTCCCATGGAGCTGCACCTACTTTATCTCCTAAGTCTCAGACTTCTTCGGCAGGTGCGCAAGTCTTGGAGGGATGCAACCAAATTTAGCATTCATGATGGATAATCCCATACATCATTAGACTACCACACTGCCAGAGTGTCCCTGTAATAGATCTTTGGTGCAAAGACACCATCATGATATATGACTCAAAAGGTGGCTCTTCTGAGCGCTGGATCCTACTTAACAAGAATCTGGCCCATTGTTTGGAGACATAAATTTTGAAAGTGACACCTATGCCAGACCCAGCACCACCTTTTGTACAATAAACAAGTGTCCAAACGGCCTGTTATACCAAGGATGTGAAAACACGCTTTGGAACACGACCTACAAATACCACAACCAACAATTGTACAATTGTGGAGTTTAAGCTCATAAATCTCTGGAGTTAATAAAGTTAAAATTAGTAAGGGAATGAATATTTTAGAATTTTTAAATGTTATCCTTTTAAAAATAGTAAGTGATTGTAAAATTAAACAAATCTTATTTTTAAATTTTAATAGCTTCACAGAGAGAAAGTAGTTTCTTTTTTTCTGGGACCAATGCTTTCTTTGTACTCCTTTTTAGAAACAGGATTGTATTCTTTCTTTGGGCAGGTTACATTTCTCGCACCTATGTAAACAGAGTCCACAGAAATATTGGCTTTTGTTTGTATTTATTTACACATAGTTCTGAAAGGAATTTGAGTCAACTTGTTCTAAGGCATGTGGTACCATTGAGTAACATATGATATTTAAAAAACAATGCTAAGGCCGGTGTGGCGGTACACACCTGGAATCCTAGCACTTTGGGAGGCCAAGGCAGGTAGATTGCCCTGAGCTCAGAGGTTCAAGACCAGCCTGAGCCAGAGTGAAACTCTGGCTCTTAAAAAAAAAAAAAAAAGGCCGGGCATTGTGGGGGGCACCTGTAGTCCCAACTACTTAGGAGGCTGAGGCAAGAAAACAAGAAAATTGCTTAAGCCGAGGAATTGGAGGTTGCTGTGAGCTATGATGCCACGGCACTCTACTGAGGGATGCAAAGTAAGACTCTGCCTCCATTAATAAATAAATAAATAAATGAAAAGAAAACAATGCTAAGCTAAGCAAAAATAGCTATTAAATATTTAAATGAATTTTATTCCCTGAAAAAAAATCCCACACAAATATAAGCTTCCTTTAAAATTAGACTACTTAATTTGCTATTGTGTGCTACAAATACTGTTTTTAGAACGTTTTCTTTTCTTTTTTAAATAGCATCATTTATTTCATCAAAAAAAAAAGCCATGTAATGAAATATACTTTCCCCTTAAATTCTAAATCCTGAATTTCATTTCTAATTAAAAAATTCCCCCATCTCAAAATGTTTGCACACAGGCTGGGTAACAGGGGATGAAGCAGGGGTACGAGCACCAGAATGTTCTTGAACTTAAAAAAATACCTGTTTTAATTGGCTAATAAGTTAAACATATCTTCAGTTTGGAAAATTGTTTGCTTGTTAGTACGAAAATGTAACCAGCAACACCACAGTGAATAGTGGCTGTGCCCTACACATAAAGTCACTTGACTACTTTGGTTACCTGAAGGTGGCTTTGTCACACATGTGTCTTTCCCAGAGGACAATAACATTTGGTTGACTTAGGCTGAGCCATAAATGACGTAGCCTCCTAAGTTTAACTACTTTCGGAGTGGGAGTGCATCATTATTTTTTTTTTTCAAATTGTAGGCTTTCATTTTTTTAAGTGAAATCAATTTAGAAAAGTCAACGGTAACTCCACTTTGGACAATTTTATGTGGAAGATATACATGAAATAAATTATCTCAGTAATTGAATCCATTTCCTTTATCTGAGTTACCAAAGGGTGGCATGTAATTCTTATAACACTCTACTCTTATTACTCTGCGTATGACCAAATAACGGAATTTTTGTCTTTAACATTGCCATACTTTAATCCCACGCACACACAGGGAGTTTAGTGACATTCCTGGTGCTAACTAGTCTGGTTATCATTTATCCAGCTCAGCAGTCAGATTCCCCGTGACTCAGGGTGACCTGTTCATTTCTGTCCTGCACTGTGGGGTGCTGGTGCCTCCCGCCCCACTTCCAGCCTGCAGCTCTGCCCTCTCACCAAAATGCCTTTCTGTCTCCACAGCTGAGAAAAGAAGCCTGACAGCAGAGCCAAGCACCAGCTCTTCAGTTCCTCAGCCGCGAAGTGACTTGCCATGTCCATGGCGAGAACTAGTTAGTTTTGAGGTCCTTTCCCTCCATGGACAGAGAGACAAGACTCTGAAGAGACCTGATCACAAAGCTTTCCCCTTGCCACAGTGGTTTTTATGCATCAGGAAATGGACAAGGTATTTTTTATGTATTAGTTCATTTAATTCACCCCCATATATTATGAAGTAGTCACGTTTTACTTTTTTCATATAATGATTTCAAGGTCAAACATATTTAGAAAAGAAAGCTCCTTGATCAGGTGGAAAAGGCATTATCTCAATCTGAACGTATCACAGAGTCAGTGAGTGGTGATTCTATAAATACCTAACTCGAGCATTTGATCCAGTTTTTCACATGAAAGGAAAATTTTGATGTTTTTACTAAAAAAATTATTTTTAATAACTGACATCAAACACATATCCAAAAATAATTTTAATTACATAATTATGCGAGTACTTAATTATATAATTTTAATTATATGATATAATTCTTACAATTTAAGAATGCCAAACTAACTTGAAAAAATAAAAAGTATCGATTAGTCTTATGCCACTAATCAAATTGGTCAGTAAAAGAAGAAAAATAAGTGTTCTTGTAAATTTGTTTTTCTTAGTTCAAACTAAAGTCAATTACTTCTATATTAGATTTAATTGTATGTGTATATATAAATAATTTCATTCTAATTCCTTAAATAATGTGACATACAAAATAGGAAATGGTTGAAATTGGTATTTTATTTACATAAAATTTAATTATTGACATGTTCAGTATCCTTTTAGGAAAATGCAAGCTTCTTAATAGTAATGGGATAGGGCAATATATTTAACAATATAAACATATTAAATATAGTTCTTGATTAACAAAGAAGATAATACTAATTTTTAAGTGAGTTAAGAATTTGGTCATATAATTCATGGATTACGGGTGGCTGGGGAGAAAAATCGTCAACTACCTATATAATTTGGGAAAAAATTTTTGGTGAAACTTTTTATACTCAGAGGTGAAGATTCATTTTTGTTACGGTAGCCAGGGTTGCTGTGTGCAATATAAAACTTCTGGGCCTCCACTGTTTTTCTTTTTTCCAAAGAAATTTTCAATAACTCTGGCCCTCTTTTTATATTAAATTGGCTTTCTAGGAACTGAGGCGAAATCAAGAAAATCTCAGAAGGATCTCTCTAAATATATTCTGCCTCAGGGCTGGCTTCTCCTTTGTCAAGCTGGGATACTGGTGTAGACCATTTTGGGGGACTGATTTTTAATACAATACAAATTTCCAACTCCCTCAGGCACAACACCTCATAGGATCTATCCTCTGTAAAAATATATTTGGTAAGGACTGAAGACAAAGGGCGAGATTCTTAGCCTTCGTAACTCCAGGGGGTACCTTCTCCTCAAATCTACTTACACCGGATTTCCCTAGAGTTAGGAGAATGGGAATTTGTTTCTTGCCTTAGAGTTTTCTGGGACTTCATAATTTGAAAATCTTATTGTCCTCATTTTCTCTTCTAACATATTTCTGCTAAAATCTGAGCCTTCTCACTTTGTTAGCCTTCACTTTTATCTGTGGCTCCCGGTGGTACTTTACTCTTCTCCGCAATGTTACTGATGCTCTGATATATGGGGTTTTCTCTTTTTCTTTCTATCTTGTCCATATGTGGAGATGAACTCTCGAAACAAGTAAAAGGAAATACTTCACTTGTTTACTTTTTTTCAGTAAACATAGGTTGAATTGGTTTTTAAAGAAAGAGAAACAGGGTCCGAAATCTTTGTTATTGTCTTAAACACATTAAAAAATAACATTTTGTTTAATGGCTTAAAATAAATTTCTACGTGTATGAGAAGCACAGCACCCATCAATTGTTACCTGATGCATAATTAAACTGAGAAGAAAAAAAACACAGCAACTCAGTGAAAAAATGCTGATCTGCCATTTCTTTATTTTTAACTACAGAGGGAGATGCTGAGATCCTCTCACGGACGCTGTGTCACATATAAAATGTAGTTTTTGAAAAGCAACAAGTAGAGGATTGAAATGGGTCTGTAGGATACTCTCATGACATATAAACATATTTTATTTTTATTTATCTATTTATTTTTGAGACAGAGTCTCAAGCTCTCACCCTGGGTAGAGTGCTGTGGTGTCACAGCTCACAGCAACCTCCAACTCTTGGGCTCAAGTGATTCTCTTGCCTCAGCCTCCCAAGGACCTGGGACTGCAGGTGCCACCACAGCACCCGGCTATTTTGTTGTTGTTGTTGTTGCAGTTGCCACTGTTGTTTGACAGGCAGGGGCTGGATTCAAACCCACCAGCTCTGGTGTACATGGCCGGCATCCTAGCCACTTGAGCTACAGGCACCGAGCCAAAGCATAACAGAACTTATAATACCTAGGAAAGTTAAAGGAGGACAAAAAAGAGGGAAAATGGAAGAAAATAGGAGCCAGGGAAGGGATAGACATGAAATTTTCATTTTTCAAGAGTCAAACAATTACAACAAAATGTGAAAGATTCCTGGGGGATCCGAAAGAACTCAGCCTAGAGAGAATAAACTTTATTTTTGTACATCTGGTTTAAGTTAGAGGTTATTTTCCATCAAATAGTAAATAAAGTATTATCTTTTGGGATTTAGAAACTCTTCACTGTATGAGAAATTTGTAATGCTATTCTGGGCTTCTTGTTTTGAAAGAGCAGGATAATTGCTGCACAAAAAAAAGAAATAAAAATTGGTTTAAAAAAAAAGGAAAAGTTTTCAATTACCAATAATCACGCCTCAGATAAACCTCATTGGTTACAATACTGCCACTGCGGATGGGTGGAGGGAGGGAGATTGGAAAGATCACCTCTATGGTCTGTCTTACAAGGGTACAAGTGAATCTTTCTAAAAGTAGAGTATAAATGTCTTAACACAATAACTAAGTAAATGTCATAAAGTCTATGTTAACCAGTTTGATGAAAATATTTCAAATTGTATATGAAAACACTACACTGTACCCCATGATTGCATTAATGTACACAGCTATGATTTAATAAAAAAAAAATAAAAATGTGATTAAGAGAATGTTAAAAAAAAAAGGAAGGAAAAAGACTAAGTAGTAAAAAAAAATAAAAGAAAAAAGAAAAAAACTAGAGTGAGAAAATCAAATAAGCAGACTTTATAAACGTGAGTGGTAAAAACATTGCTTCCAATTTTGAAGCCAAAGAGAAAATATGTCCAATTATATTGTAGCATTTTTAGAAAGGAGAAAGTATATCTGTTTTTTGGGAAAACTCAAACTTTTCTAAGCACCAATATCTAAAAGAGGTGCTTTAATTCTTTAATTTGTTAAATACTACTATAAGGATCAACACACTCAACACCATCCCTTTAACAAAAAAGTTCAAATATTCCATATGGTTATAATTAAATTCCTTGATGAAAGTCAAGGATGAAACATTGAAATGCAACACACTGAAGGGATTTTCTATAAAGCTGAAATATGACCCTGGAAAATATTTGGGGATTCCCTAATTGTCAGATTTATTTAAGGAGAGTGAGAAGATGGGAAGGGCGGCATGTCTTTCAGAAATTTCCCCTACATTCTATGTTCCCAGGTGAGCTTTTGATTAGAACTTGAAAGAAAAATTTTGTTTTGACAAAAGTTACCTCATTAGCATTTTGACTTGCAGGTTGATGTTGGAAAAATATGCTCTCCATTTAGTCTATAAACCCACAATAAAATAAATGTTACTTCATGAAAAGAAAAAAGTAGGAAAGGAACCAACTTCTACATGAATTTGGTCCATGGTCAAAGTCAGAATTTCTTCTGAAACCATCCCAGTTAAGTAAAGCATATTATCAAATAGTTTTGTATCCCCATAAGCCCCCTGGGCCCTACTCTTTTTAAATCTGTATTTTGTTTCTTCCTCTTTATTTTTTTCATCCTCTCATCACCACCAGACACTGGGAAAGGACTATGGTGTAGTTTGGGGCTGGTTCAGAAATCAGTAGTGAAGAAATCCAATCCCAGTAAACATGGATGTGGCTTCACCATGAGCAGTGGCAAAATCCCAATGGAATGTTGGCTTTGAATGCAGATGAGGCTCTGTCTATCTTGTAAGTTAGTTGCAAAATAGTCTCCCGGGAACATGTCAAATCTCCTTTGATTATGTGTGAAATCAATGAAATTTTGAAATACGATACCAAATATAATAATAATGAGAATTACCAAAAGTAATTTTTGCATTAGGCCTTATTTTGAAAAGGTTGTATTATCTTTAATAACATTGTCAATAAAACCATATAGTTTTAATACCAAATTGAATCCAACCAGATAGTCAAATAGTGCTCGAAATCTGGAAATAAAAGTTGAAAACTAAGTGGTGATGTCATATTTTACTTAATGTTGTTATCTGGTCTACTGTTACGTATTTGCCTACTAATAGATTTCCACATCTCCTTACCAATATTCGGTTCAGAAATTTGACTAATTTGTTTCACCATGTTTCCTGAGTTAATAAAGCTGCTTGAAATCTATTACTTAAATTAGCTTCTTATTTTTTTTGTTATTGTTGTTACAGTTTGGCTGGAGCTGGGTTTGAACCCACCACCCTTGGTATAGGGGGCCAGCGCCCTACTCACTGAGCTACAGGTGCTGCCCAAATTTACCTTCCTATTTAAATCCATTATCACCTATTAGTAACCAATTTTTCCCCAAAATATGTGATATTTTACCAAATTTGTGAATGTATGCATATTCTTTAATGTTATTTTATTTTTATTTTATTTTATTTTATTATTCTTTTGCTGGGGCTGGGTTTGAACCTGTCATCTCCAGCATATGGGGCTGGCACCCTACTTCTTTGAGCCACAGGCACCGCTCCCCTTTAATGTTATTTTAAACCAATATATTCTGATGAAGAAGAAGAATGATGAAAAATACTGATAATTAGGTGTTCCTTAGATGAATTTTTCTTTCTACTACTACTTAAAGATTTACATAAGTCAGTATTTCTCCTAGAATTCTAAGCTGTAAATCTTTTAGATCAGAGTAAAAGAGACATCATCACTTCTATTTTTAATTGACACAGTTCCTTGAGAAATGGTTGAGTCATTAAAACACATGCTTTTCAGGAAGTACAACTTTTATATCAGCCAACTCCTTCTGAGATATTTCTACCGAGTCTTTCTGAGAACACAAGTCGTTCTGAAATCGAACATATGTTCAGTTTTATAACCTGTGCCACTTTCTTGTTGGTTTTATTATTTTCCGCAGATTTATTTCCTTCTGAGCTGTCTGGTATGTTTTCCAAACAGTTTCACAGAAATTGAGAATATTTCAATAGCCACATAATAAAATTATTACAAATATGCGTGTGTGTTTAGGAGTTACGTAGACTTTTAGGAACAGGTACTGTTCCCTGGAAGTGAGCAGAATCTCAATCTCGTTTCCAGAAATTAGCTGCTATCGAACGCATTTGAAACAAGTGTTCTCACTTGAAGCTAAAGTGTGAAATGATGAAATGCTGGAAGTTAAAAGAACCGGTTGTGAAGAGCAGCGGGGGAGCAGTAGCCCCAGTGAGCAGGTCGGATGAATGAGCTTTGAGTCAGGAGCATGTCACTGAGAGATGAAGGCTGTTCAGCATCTTGTTATTCTCAGAACCCGCCTCAGTGCCCTGGCCGTGGGAGACTCCTGGTAAACACTCACTGGGTAATTAAGTAAATAAATTAATCCATGACTACATCAAAACATACAGATTTTCTGTCTCTGTACACAGAGACATGTATCTATATGTAAATGTACATGCAAATAAAACACATGTGGGCCCTAATTTATATACACGTTCAAGTGCATGTATTCGCAGCAACCTGCTTTCATCTGCGGTTTCCATTTCTGCACTTTCAGTGATCTGTTGTTAACCATGGTGCAAACACAGACAATACAGAGCAATGAGATATTTTGAGAGAGAGCATTCATGTAATTTGAAGGGTATTTTAATTATTTTTTCTATTTTATTATTAGTTGTTAATCCCCTTCTGTGACTGATTTATAAATTAAACTTTATTATACCTGTGCATGTCCAGGAGAAAAATAGCATATGTGGGGTTTGGTAGTGTCCATTTTTCAGGGATTTACTGGGGTTTTGGAATTTATCCCCCATGGGTAAGGAGAAACTAACGTATAGTGAGTGAAGAGAGAAAGAATCTCACACCCTATGGGATATAAGATCATTGTAAAAATCAACATGAGAAGCAATTAGGATTTATCATTCATTTATTAAGACATACGTCCTGGGGTGGCACCTGTGGCTCAAAGGAGTAGGGCACCAGGGGTTCAAACCTGGCCATGGCCAATAACTGCAAAAAAAAAAAAAAAAAGTACTTCCTGGAAAAAGTGCTGAAAACCCACCACCTGCATGGCGTGTACATAGGCCCTGTGCATTCCACCACGTATGTAAAGAATGTCCTGCTTGTAGTTGATTCCAGTCTGGTTTATAGACCTCAAGAAAAACACACAAACACAGACACACCTTCCTATTTCACCCCATGAAAATGTCTAGTCAAGAAGCGTGTGTTGATGGAAAGCCTAATAAGTCCTCCTATCCTTAGGCTCAATGAAAACAATGAGCAATTTGACACCTTCAAAAAATTCAAAGTAAATGGAAGATTCCCTTCTCAGAAGGAAAGATACCAGAGCCCTGGTCATGCTTAGAAGTTTCTGAGCAGGTAAGCACTGCCCCACCTCTGCATGTGACATTGGTGATGGCTGCTGCTCTTTGTGGAATATAAATCCGTGCTGCCCAACCAGGTTCCTCTGCCTGCTGCCCCAGGGAAGCCGAGACCCAAAGGCAGCCGAGGAGTTCATTCCGCAGAGCACTTAGTGGAATTGCTCAAATCATTGTGTCGCCCTCCATAAAGTGCTGTGGCATCACAGCTCACAGCAACCTCAAACTCTTGGGCTTAAACGATTCTCTTGCCTCATCCTCCCAAGTAGCTGGGACTACAGGTGTCCACAACACCTGGCTATTTTTTTGTTGCAGTTGTCATCGTTTGTCAGGCCTGGGCTGGGCTTGAACCTGCCAGCCTTGGTGCATGTGGCCAGCGCCCTACTCAATGAGCTATGGGCACGGAGCCTATTCTAGGAACTTATGAAATTAAAAATGCAGGTAAATTTGAGCTCCATTTCTTGACTTGTGTTCCAAATTTGGGACATTGTAATCTCATGAGTGATATGTGTTGGGTGGGATGGGAGGATTTCTAGACCCCAGGAACCCTGTGCTGTGAAGGGAGGCCTTGGGTAATGGGTCTGTCTTTAAACCATCTGAGAGCTAACACCATTTTAAATTTCAAGAACATAAATTGCTTTTCCGTACAGTTTTGCCAACTTATCTTTTTTAAGTTTGTGCTCTTCAAGTATGATAAAATGGGATTATAATATCTTGGAACATTAAAAATAAGAAAAGAATAAAATTTTTGCTAATAAAGCACAAGAGCAGTGAATGACAGGCAGTCTCAAAACCAGAATGATTACATCTTCTCCCATAACTGTCGTAGCTTCACCACAAGGGAACTGTCACATTTTCAGAGAAGATCCTAATTTTTGAAGGGTTTTTGCCAGATTCTTTCACTTCGTTTTGTTTCACCTGACAAAAATATTTACCTTGTGTGATAGGAACAACTTCACAGTGATAATTAAGAACACGTAACGAACAGAGGTCTGTAGCAAAACATTTTATTACTGAATTTTTTGGTCAGGTGTTCTTTTCTTGTATATCATTTATAAATTCAGAATATTGGCATTTATAAGTGAACAAGGATCTCTAATAAAGATCATAGC